CAATATTCAGTTAAAGAGAGAAATAAAAAAGGGAATAAGAAAATAAAAAAGAGATTATGAGGCTAAAGTTGCAAGAGAATCGACGACTAACCCAATAGGATTATTTCAGGTATACAGAAGTAAGACCAGGGACAAGATAGGCCCACTCAAAAGCTATTCGGGTCAGCTTATGGACAGTGATAAGAAAATGTGTAGAATTTTTAACACATACTTCCTCTCACTTTTTACACAGGAAGATACTAGCTATATTCCAGAAATAATAAATTATGTTGAACAGGATGATTATAAACTATGCACTAGCAAATAGATAAATTAAAACCTAACAAATCCCCAGGCACTGATGAACTGTATGCAAGGGTTCTAAAGGAATGTGAAGAGGAGCTTAGCAAACCTTTGGCTAACCTTTTCAACATATCACTACAGACTGGCATGGTGCCAGATAAGTGAAAAATGGCAAATGTGATACCTATTTTCAAAGCAGGTGACAGGTCCTTAGCTTCGAACTATAGACCAATAATCCTAACCTCCATAGTGGAAAATTTATGGAACCAATAATTGCCGAGGCAGTTCGTAGCCACCTTGAAAAGCATAAATTAATCAACGAATCTCAGCATGGTTTTACAAAGGAGCGTTCCTGCCCTACGAATTTATTAACTTTTTTTCACTAAGGTATTTGAGGAGGTTGATCATGGTAATGAATATGATATTGTGTATATGGACTTCAGTAAGGCTTTTGACAGGGTCCCACATCAGAGACTATTGAGGAAAATTAAGGCACATGGAATAGGAGAATTTTTTCCTGGATGGAGGAAGGTTGACAAATAGGCAGCAGAGAGTTTGCATAAATGGTGAGAAATCAGAGTGGAGAAGCGTCAAGAGTGGTGTTCCACAGGGGTCAGTGTTGGGCCCCCTGTTGTTCACAATCTATATAAACGACATAGATGAGAGCATAAAGAGCGACATAAGCAAGTTTGCCGATGACACCAAAATAGGCCGTCGAATTCATTCTGACGAGGACATTAGAGCACTCCAGGAAAATTTGAATAGACTGATGCAGTGGTCGAAGAAGTACCAGACGCAGTTTAATATAGACAAATGCAAAGTTCTAAATGTTGGACAGGAAAATAATCATGCCACATATAAACTAAATAATGTAGATCTTAATATTACGGATTGCGAAAACGATTTAGGAGTTCTGGTTAGCATTAATCTGAAACCAAGACAACAGTGCATAAGTGTTCGCAATAAAGCTAACAGAATCCTTGGCTTCATATCAAGAAGCATAAATAATAGGAGTCCTCATGTTGTTCTTCAACTCTATATATCCTTGGTTAGGCCTAATTTAGATTATGCTGCACAGTTTTGGTCACCGTATTACAGAATGGATATAAATGCTCTTTAAAACATACAATGGAGGATGACAAAGTTGGTCCCATGTATCGGAAATCTTCTCTATGAGGATAGACTGATGTCCCTGAACCTGCACTCTCTAGAAAGGCGTAGAATTAGGGGGGATATGATTGAGGTATATAAATGGAAGACAGGAATAAATAAAGGGGATGTAAATAATGTGCTGAAAATATCTAGCCTAGACAGGACTCGTAGCAATGGTTTTAATTAAGTTGGAAAAATTCAGATTCAGGAAGGATATAGGAAAGCACTGGTTTGGTAACAGAGTTGTGGATGAGTGGAACAAACTCCCGAGTACAGTTATTCAGGCTAAAACGTTGTGTAGTTTTAAAAATAGGTTAGATAAATGCATGAATGGATGTGGGTGGGTGTGAGCTGGACCTGTTTAGCTTGTGCTACTAGGTCAGTTGTCGTGTTCCTTCCTTAAGTGAATGTGACCTGACCTGACTAGGTTGGGGCATTGGCTTAAGCCAGTAGGAGACTTGGATCTGCCTCGCATGGGCCAGTAGGCCTGCTGCAGTGTTTCTTCTTTCTTATGTTCCTATGTTCTTATGATGACTTCTTCAAGTGTTTAATAACATAAGAGACGCACGAGGAAAGGTAAGACCTTCAACGGGGTGCGAGCTGCTGCCTTTTTAATATCTTTATTTCTCCAAGTTCATGTACAAGGTAACAATAATTATTTTTTCTACTAATACATGTACAAGGTATACAGGCCTAGCTGACATCAGTGACACTCTACTGCACAGAAAGCCTCTTGTTATGCTGAGTATTTCGGGCAAATTAGGTCACTTTTGTCTCGGGAGGCGACGTACACCAGGTACCTATTTTATACTGATGGGTGAACATAGAAAATCGGTGTAAGGAAACACGCCCAGTGCTTCACCCGACCGGAAATCGAACCCGGACCCCTTACCGTGTGAGGCGAGAACTTTTGCCACCAGGCCAAGGGCCTTGGTGTTGCTCAGAGTCTTTCCAAGGAATTCCAGTATCTTTTTCCCTTCCTTGGATCAGACTTGATAACCTTCCATTCCTCAGATGCTCTATGGCTCATATGGGTTTAGTGCTCCATATACAACACTAATAATAATAATATCCATGGGGAAGTGGAAGGGAATTCTTCCTCCGTAAGCCATGTGTGTCGTAAGAGGCGACTAAAATGCTGGGAGCAAGAGGCTAGTAACCCCTTCTCCTGTATACATTAGTAAAGTTAAAAAGAGAAACTTTTGTTTTTTCTTTTTGGGCCACCTTGCATCGGTGGGATACGGCCGGTTTGTTGAAATAATAATAATAACAATAATAATAATAATAATAATAATAATAATAATAATAATAATAATAATAATAATAATAATAGTAATAATAATAATAATAATAATAATAATAATAATAATAATAATTATTATTATTATTATTATTATTATTATTATTATTATTATTATTATTTTTATTATTATTATTTATAATAAGCGTCATGAGCAAAACATTCAATCTTCGGCGTTGCTTAATCAGTTGATCTCGTATAAACCTTCAACTCATGTCAGAATAAAACATCTTATTCAATTTCATGACCAGTTTATTAGCAGATATTAGCAGTCAAAACTACTTTATTGGCAGATATTGCCAATCAAACCCAGTTTATTAGCGGGCACTGAGCTAGAGCTCAACACAAGCATTAATGGAACAAATGTCACTTAGAGGCAGTGGAGTAAATGCCACTTGGAGGCAGTGGAAACCATTTATTATTATTTTTATTATTATTATTAGTAGTAGTAATAGTAGTAGTAGTAGTAGTAGTAGTAGTAATAATAATAAATAAATAATAATAATAATAATAATAATAATAATTAATAATAATAATAAAATAATAATAATAATAATAACAATAATAATAATAATAATAATAATAATAGTAATAATAATAATAATAATAATAATAATAATAATAATAATAATAATAATAATAATAATAATAAATCTTTATTTCTTCAAGTACATGTACAAGGCATACAGGCCTAACTGACATCAATGACATATTACTATGCAGAGTATTTCTGGGAAATTAGGTCAGTTTTGTCCCAGGATGTGACCCACACCAGTCGACTAACAGACTAACACCCAGGTACCTATTTTACTGATAGGTAAACATGGACAGCAGATGTTTAAGGAAACACTTCCTAATGTTTTCACCCGTACCGGGGATCGACTCCCGGACCTCAGTGTGTGTGAGCTGAGTGCGCTAGCAATCGAGCAATTATTAGTATTATTAGTATTATTATTTAAAATGAAGCACGAAACCCGTGTGGGTCCTACGGCGCCTGGGAAGTGGGAAACAATCAGATTTGTCTCGAGAAATGGGAGGTAAAGTTCCGCTTTTTGGATCAAGGGCCCTTCACTAGCATCAAAGATCTCTCTCTCGCAAGGATCAAGTACATCTGAGTGTTATTTACTTCTAAAAAAAAAAAACAATGACAGTTTAGGGAGGTACGTATCATGGTAGTGGGTAATTTGTTAGAGATTAATTTAGCGGTCATTTCCAATCGTAGAACTGAAAATAGAGGTGTTATGTTCCGTTCAAGGTAGTGAGAATTTCTGCTGACTTTCCTGATTGTGGAAGTGAGTATAAGAGCGCTATTTTCCGATCGTGGCAGTTAGTACTTTAGTGCACTCTTTCAGTCATGGTAATAAGAAACTTAGCACTCTGCTTTTATAGTGGTACTTAATAATTGAGCATTATTTTCCGATCATTTTAATGAGTTTCTTTTACTGCTCTTTTCCAATCAAGGTACTGAGCTATTTAGCGCTGTTTACCCGTCATGGTAAGTTCGTGACCCTCCTGAATCATTGCAGCTAGTGCATCGGCGTTCCCCTCCGATCGTGGAAGCGAGTGTACTGGTGCTCCTTTTGGATCATGGTAGCAAGTATGTGTTAGTCTCATAACTGGTATATGAGAATACAGGAAAGAATGGAATAAATGAAGAATTATTGAAACTTTGCAAATGACAACGTCGCTTAGTTTACAAGTTCTATATTTTCCATACTGCTCTGAAGCTTCGTATGAAGAGCACAAGTCATAATACTGTCACTGGAACAATTCACAAGTAACCCAGAGTACCGTGGCTGGAACAGTTCACAAATAACTCACACTTTTGAAAGAGGACAATGCTGTGAAGTGTCGTCGTATTTCTTCCCAATTAAGAAAGGTATCAGAGCCCCAAGCAGAGTACTGAGTCGCATTCCTTGTCGAGCAGAGTATTGATTCACAGCCCTTGCCAGAGTACTGAGTCATGTTCCTTGTTGACCGCGACAGCATTCCCGAAACTGAAGATGGCTGTTAGATACCGACGCGGCCCACAGCAGCTTCCTCGAGTTAGACACATCGAACTGAAGGTGCTCTCTCCCTCTCCAAGGCACGCACGACTAACCCCACATGACGACTTTAGAAGACGGCCAGTCGTTGATGACCTTTGATGATGTCCGTTGATGGCGACCTTTGATGACGTTCATTGGTGGTGACCTTTGATGACTATTTATGACGACGATTGGCGACAGTCATTGATGACGACGATTTTCCTTCCCCTTCCCTTCAATGGAAGGAGAAGGAGAATGCGGAGAAGGAGGAAGAGGAAGAGGAAGAAGAGGAGGAAGAGGAGGAGGAAGAGGTGCTAATACATCTGGTGATAGTAGTGTCTTAACACACCAGGTCCAAATACTCAGCATCGAGGTCGACCAGCAGGTCGCCGCTCGAGCAGGAAGTCTTACTGTCCACGAACTGCAGGAGGGTGGCGTTCTTGACCAGCCAAGCCACGTCGCAGCCGCAAGCCAATGGGTTCGCTGCGGGAAGGGAAGATAAATTGGCTTACATGGGTTGAACTGGGTTACTTGGGGAAGATAACTGGGTTTACTCAGGTTTTACTGAGTTTTACATGGATTGAACTGGGATGATTAGGTTACCTATGGGAAATTGCGCTACCTAAGGAAGATTGGATTATTGAAAAGACTGAGTTACTTGAGGAAGGCTGCGTTACTTTACTTGTGGAAAAACGAAGTAATTAATCTTCAAAAGACTGCTTTACCTAAGGAACATTGAGTTACCTTGATAATGTGCACATCAGTCGTGGCCATTACGCACAATACAATGTGTGTGTGTGTACTCACCTATATGTACTCACCTATATGTGGGTGCAGGGGTCGAGTAGCTGTACTCGTCTAGTTGTGCTCACCTAGTTGAGGTTGCAGGGGTCGAGTCCTAGCTCCTGGCCCCGTCTCTTCACTGGTCGCTACTAGGTCGCTCTCCTTGAACCGTGAGCTTTATCATACCTCTGCTTAAAACTATGAATGAATCCTGCCTCTACTACTTCGCTTCCCAGACTATTCCATTTCCTGACTACTCTGTGGCTGAAGAAATACTGCCTAACATCCCTGTGATTCATCTGTGTCTTCAACTTCCAACTGTGTCCCCTTGTTACTGTGTCCCATCTCTGGAACATCCTGTCTTGGTCCACCTTGTCAATTCCTCTCAGTATTTTGTATGTCGTTATCATGTCCCCCCTATCCCTCCTGTCCTCTAGTTTCGTCAGGTCGATTTCCCTTAACCTCTCCTCGTAGGACATACCTCTTAGCTCTGTGACTAGTCTTCCTGCAAACCTTTGCACTTTCTCTAGTTTTTTTACGTGCTTGGCTAGGTGTGGGTTCCAAACTTGTGCCGCATACTCCAATATGGGCCTAACGTACACGGTGTACAGGGTACTGAACGATTCCTTATTAAGATGTTGGAATGCTGTTCTGAGGTTTGCTAGGCGCCCATATGCCGTAGCAGTTATTTGGTTGATGTGCGCTTCAGGAGATGTGCCTGGTGTTATACTCACCCCAAGATCTTTTTCCTTGAGTGAGGTTTGTAGTCTCTTGCCCCCCCCCCTAGACTGTACTCCGTCTGCAGTCTTCTTTGCCCTTCCCCAATCTTCATGACTTTGCACTTGGTGGGGTTGAACTCCAGGAGCCAATTGCTGGACCAGGTCTGCAGCCTGTCCAGATCCCTTTGTAGTTCTGCCTGGTCTTCGATCGAATGAATTCTTCTCATCACCTTCACGTTGTTAATGTTGCAGTTTAAAAACTGTAGTGTAAAGCACCCTTCTGGCAAGACAGTGATGGAGTGAATGATGGTGAAAGTTTTTCTTTTTCGGGCCACCCTGCCTTGGGGGGAATCGGCCAGTGTGATAATAATAATAATAATAAAAAAATAACTTCACGTCATCTGCAAACAGGGACACTTAGGAGTCTGTTCCTTCTGCCATGTCGTTCACAAATACCAGAAACAGCACTGGTCCTAGGACTGACCCCTGTGGGACACCGCTGGTCACAGGTGCCCACCCTGACACCTCGCCACGTACCATTACTCGCTGCTGTCTTCCTGACAAGTATTCCCTGATCCATTGTAGTGCCTTCCTTGTTATCCCTGCTTGGTCCTCCAGTTTTTGCACTAATCTCTTGTGTGGAACTGTGTCAAACACCTTCTTGCAGTCCAAGAAAATGCAATCCACCCACCCACCTCTCTCTTGTCTTACTGCTGTCACCATGTCATAGAACTCCAGTAGGTTTGTAAACCTACTGGAGGATTTCCCGTCCCTGAAACCATGTTGGTTGCTGTTGATGAGATCATTCCTTTCTAGATGTTCCACCACTCTTCTCCTGAAAATCTTCTCAATGACATTGCATACTATACATGTCAGTAACACTGGTCTGTAGTTTAGTGCTTCATGTTTGTCTCCTTTTTTAAAGATTGGGGCTACATTTGCTGTCTTCCTTGCTTCAGGCAATCTCCCTGTTTCGATAGATGTATTGAATATTGTTTTCAGGTATACACATAGCGCCTCTGCTCCCTTTCTCAGGACCCATGGAGAGATATTATCCGGCCCCATTGCCTTTGAGGCATCTAGCTAACTCAGAAGCCTCTTCACTTCTTCCTCGGTTGTGTGTACTGTGTCCAGCACTTGATGTTGTACCCCATCTCTCCGTCTTTCTGGAACCCCTTCTGTCTCCTCTGGGAACACTTCTTTGAATCTCTTGTTGAGTTTCTCACATACTTCACGGTCATTTCTTGTTGTCTCTCCTCCTTCCTTCCTTTGCCTGATTACCTGGTCCTTGACTGTTGTTTTCCTCCTGATGTGGCTGTATAACAGCTTCGGGTCAGATTTGGCTTTCGCTGCTATGTCTTTTTCATATTGTCGTTGGGCCTCCCTTCTTATCAGTGCACATTCATTTCTGGCTCTACGACTGCTCTCATTCTCCTGGGTCCTTTGCCTTCTACATTTCTTCCATTCCCTAGCATACTTGGTTTTTTCCTTCCTGCACCTTTGGGTGAACCATGGGCTCATCCTGGCTTTTTCATTATTCCTGTTACCCTTGGGTACAAACCTCTCCTCAGCCTCCTTGCACATTGTTGTTACATATTCCATCATCTCATTAACTGGCTTCCCTGCCAGTTCTCTGTCCCACTGAACCCCGTTCAGGAAGTTCCTCATTCCTGTGTAGTCCCCTTTCTTGTAGTTTGGCTTCATTCGCCCTGGCCTTCCTGCTTCACCCTCCACTTGTAGCTATACTGTGTATTCGAAGCTTAAAAGTGTGTGTGTGTGTGTGTGTGTGTGTGTGTGTGTGTGTGTGTGTGTGTGTGGTGTGTGTGTGTGTGTGTGTGTGTGTGTGTGTGTGTGTGTACTCACCTAATTGTGGTTGCAGGGGTCGAGACTCAGCTCCTGGCCCCGCCTCTTCACAGATCGCTACTAGGTTTTCTCCCTCTCTGCTTCCTGAGCTTTGTCATACCTCTTCTTAAAACTATGTATGGTTCCTGCCTCCACTACTTCACTTGCTAGGCTATTTCACTTACTGACGACTCTATGACTGAAGAAATACTACTAGGTTTTCTCCCTCTATGCTTCCTGAGCTTTGTCATACTTCTTAAAACTATGTATGGTTCCTGCCTCCACTACTTCACTTGCTAGGCTATTCCTCTTACTGAAGACTCTATGACTGAACAAAATACTTCCTCTGGGACTAGGCTTGTTGCAAACCTTTGTTCTTTCTCTAACTTCTTGACGTGCTTAACCAGGTGTGGGTTCCAGACTGGTGCTGCATACTCCAGTATGGGCCTAACATACACAGTATACAGTGTCTTGAACGATTCCTTATGAAGGTATCCGAACGCTTTCTCAGGTTTGCCAGGCGCCCGAATGCTGCAGCAGTTATTTGGTTGATGTGTGCTCGGTGTTATGGTCTCCCCAAGGTCTTTCTCCCTGAGTGAGGTCTGTAGTATTTGTCCACCTAGCCTATACTCAGTCTGCGGTCTTCTTTGCCCCTCCCCAATCTTCATGGCTTTGCATTTGGCAGGTTTGAATTCGAGAAGCCAGTTTCTGGACCGCATGTCCAGCCTGTCCAGGTCTCTTTGCAGTCCTACCTCATCCTCATCCGATTTAATTCTTTTCCATCATGTCAATAGCATTGGTCCTAGAACTGACCCCTGTGGGACCCCGCTCATCACAGGCGCCCACTGTGATACCTCTTCACGTACCATGACTCGTTGTTGCCTCCCTGTCAGGTATTCCCTGATCCATTGCAGTGCCCTCCCTGTTATATGCGCCTGATCCTCCAGCTTCTGCACTAATCTCTTGTGAGGAACTGTGTCAAAGGCCTTCCTGCAGTCCAGGAAAATACAACCAACCCACCCCTCTCGTGTCTTACTTCTGTTACCTTGTCATAAAACTCCAGAAGGTTTGTGACACAGGATTTGCCTTCCATGAATCCATGCTGGATTTTATTTGTAATCTTGTTCCATTCAAGGTGTTCCACAACTCTCCTCCTGATAATCTTCTCCATGACTTTGTATACTATAGATGTCAGAGACACAGGTCTGTAGTTTAGTGCCTCGTTTCTGTTTCCTTTCTTAAATATGGGGACTACATTTGCTGTCTTCCATTTCTCAGGTAGTTGCCCAGTTTCAAGGGATGTGTTGAAGATTGTGGTTAGGGGCATGCACAGCATCTCTGCTCCTTCTCTAAGGACCCATGGGGAGATGTTGTCCGGTCCCATCGCCTTTGAGGTATCAAGATCACTTAGTAGCTTCTGCACCTCCTCCTTGGTTGTTCGTATGTCATCCAACACTTGTTGGTATATTCCCTCTTGATGTTCCCTTCTGTGCTGTCTTCCCAGAGCCCTTCCTGTCTCTACTGTAAAAACTTCCTTAAATCTCTTGTTTAGCTTGTCACATACCTCCTGATCATTTTTTGTGAGTTCTCCACCTTCTGTCCTCAGTCTGATCACCTGGTCTTTGACTGTTGTCTAACTCCTGATGTGGCTATACAACAGTTTCGGGTCAGTCTTGACTTTCGATGCTATGTTATTTTCATACTGTCACTGGGCCTCCCTCCTTACCTGTGCGTACTCGTTCCTGGCTCTGCGACTAATCTCCCTATTTTCATGTGTTCTCTGCCTTCTGTACTTTTTCCATTCTCTATTGCACTTTGTTTTTGCCTCCTTAGACCGTTGGGTAAACCAGGGGCTTGTTCTGGTCTTCCCATTGTTTCTGTTGCCCTTGGGAATAAACCTTTCCACTGCCTCTTGCATTTTGTTGTTATATATTCCACCATTTCATTTACTGGCTTTCCTGCCAGTTTTCTGTCCCATGGAACCTCCTGCAGAAAGTTCCTCAAACCTATGTAGTTCCCTCTTTTATAGTCTGGCTTTTCCCATTCAACACCTGTTACTCTCTCTACTTGCAACTCTACTATGTATTCAAAGCACAGAACCATGTGGTCACTAGCTCCAAGGGGACTCTCATATGTGATGCCCTCAATGTCTGAACTGCCCAGGTGAACACAAGATCCAATCTTGCTGGTTCATCCTCCTCTCTCACTCTGGTAGTGTCCTTAACATGTTGGTGCATGAGGTTTTCCAGCACCACATCCAACATCTTGGCTCTCCATGTTTTGGGACCCCCATGTGGCTCCAGGTTTTCCCAGTCAATCTCCCTGTGGTTGAAATCACCCATAACCAGCAACTTTGCTCTGCTGCAATGAGCTCTTCTTGCCACCTCAGCAAGTGTGTCCACCACTGCTCTGTTGCTCTCTTCATATTCCTCTCTTGGCCTCCTGCAGTTCTGTGGTGGATTATACATCACTGCAATGACCACCTTGTGCTCCCCAGACTGAAATGTACCTACTATGTAGTCCCTTTCTCCTGTCTCGTCTATGCCTCCCATTTTCTCGAATTTCCATCTGTTTTTTTATGAGCAGAGCAACCCCTCCTCCCCCTCTGCCCCTTCTATCTTTCCTCATGATCCGGTATCCTGGTGGGAAGATTGCATCTGTTATTGTCTCCGTGAGTTTTGTTTCTGTAACTGCTATGATGTTTGGGGACTTCTCATTGATTCTTTCTTGCCATTCCTCATATTTATTAGTTAATCCATCCACATTTGTGTACCAAACCTTCAACTTTCGTTCTAATACTGTAACTGTGGTCCTGGGGGAATACTGGGGTTGGGAGAGCAGGAGCCCTGGTGGGGGCCTGTGGGGGGTTGCAGTGGAGGTGGAGGACGAGCTCCCATAGGGGGTTGCTGTAGGGGTAGGGTTCGTTGTGCGGGGGGGGTGGGAACAGAGGGATCTGTGTGTGATGGTTGGTTTGGATTGTTCAGTTGCCTTGGGGGTGTCGTGGCTGGAGTCCTTCTGCAGGTGTTTCTGGGGGGTGTGCTTGCCCTTCCACCTGTGCCTGGGTTATTCTGCTCTTCTTTGTCATTCCCTCCCATTCCTCCTTTCGTTTTTGCACTCTCTCTTTCAGTATCATCCTTTCCTCCTGTGTTCTGTCTCGATTGAGGTACATACTCATGAACTCCTGTTTGCCTCTCAGCCTTGCTTTCTCCTGCAGGATCATGGTTCGAGTTGATTCTGCCTTGAAAATTATTTTGAGAGGTCGTTTCCTTCTCTTTGTGAACCACCCGATTCTCCAAAAATTTGCCACCTGGGTCATGTCTCCGTCGCCTATCACCTTCATGATACCTTAAATCACTTTTTTCTCCTCCTGCTTTCTTTCATCATAAGTTTTCCCTTCAGCTTCGTCTAGCCCATAGACAAAAACTGATCTCTCCCTTTCCACCTCCCTCTCTGACTCCCATTGTATCCTCTGAGGTGTTTTAGTTCCTTCCTGTGGAGTGTTCCTTCCTTCAGTTCCTTCCCTAGCTGTGGCCCCTATGCTCATTGGTTTGTCCTTCCTGCTCACCTGTTCCTGGCCCCCACAAGTGTCTGGTAAGATCCCTGCACATGTCCTAGTTCCTTCAATGTCTTCCAACCTCTCATTCTGTCCTAGAGTGCTCCCTGTCTCTGTTTTAGCCCCATGTGGGTTTGACAGGACCTCTGCATACAGTTTAGCTTCCAAGCTCCCTTCAGACCCTTTGTCTGTGTCTGATGTAAACATTGCTGATGCTACTTCTGTATTATTTTTGTCTCTAGGCTGTTTCAGATTTCTCAGCTCCTCTTCTAATTTCTGTATCTTGGCTTCTGCTACTGTGGCATGTTGCTCCCACCTTCTGCACTCTACTGCTAACCTCTCCTCCATCTTCCTTGCAAGCTCATCTAGCCTCCTTCCCCAGTCTTCCTCCCTTTTTTTGAGCTCTGCCTCCCAGTCCTCCCTCCCAGATTCGTCCTTCGGGCCCTTGGCTCTCATCCTAGTTCTAGGTTGTCCCATTGCACCACAAAAGGAAGGAGAAGAGATCGTTAGGGGGAGGGGAATAGATGGTTAAGGGGAGTGGGGATGGATGGTTATGGGGGAGGGGGAGGATGGTTATTGGAGGGGGAGAGGTGGTTGGGGGAGGGGGATAGATGGTTTTGGGGAGGGGTTAGTTGGTTTGGGGGAGGGTAGATGGCTAGGGGGAGGAGAAGAGGTGGTTAGGAGAAGGGGGAGTATGTGTTTGTGTCAAATGTATATGTGCTTGTGTATATGTGCTTGTGTATGTGTTTTGTGCATGTGTGGGAGAGAGAGGGATGGGATTAAGGGGAGAGGGGGAGGGGGAGGGGAGGGGGAGAGAAGGATGAGGGTAGAGTGGCCCCTAGAAGTGGGGGAAGTGTGTTTGTGTGTGATGGGATCAGAAGGGGAGGGGAGGTAGGGGGAGGGGAAGCGAAGGATGAGGGTAGAGTGGCCGCTTGATAACGGGGTCCTTACGGGTGTGTGTGTATGTGTGTGTGTGTGTGTGTGTACTCACCTAGTTGTACTCACCTAGTTGAGATTGCGGGGGTCGAGTCCGAGCTCCTGGCCCCGCCTCTTCACTGATCGCTACTAGGTCACTCTCCCTGAGCCGTGAGCTTTATCATACCTCTGCTTAAAGCTATGTATGGATCCTGCCTCCACTACATCGCTTCCCAAACTATTCCACTTACTGACTACTCTGTGGCTGAAGAAATACTTCCTAACATCCCTGTGATTCATCTGTGTCTTCAGCTTCCAACTGTGTCCCCTTGTTACTGTGTCCAATCTCTGGAACATCCTGTCTTTGTCCACCTTGTCAATTCCTCTCAGTATTTTGTATGTCGTTATCATGTCCCCCCTATCTCTCCTGTCCTCCAGTGTCGTCAGGTTGATTTCCCTTAACCTCTCCTCGTAGGACATACCTCTTAGCTCTGGGACTAGTCTTGTTGCAAACCTTTGCACTTTCTCTAGTTTCTTTACGTGCTTGGCTAGGTGTGGGTTCCAAACTGGTGCCGCATACTCCAATATGGGCCTAACGTATACGGTGTACAGGGTCTTGAACGATTCCTTATGTGTGTGTGTGTGTGTGTGTGTGTGTGTGTGTGTGTGTGTGTGTGTGTGTGTGTGTGTGTGTGTGTGTGTGTGCATATGTATGTGTACTCGCCTAGTAAAGGTGTGTGTGTATGTATATGTGTGTGTGTGTGTGCTTGTGTGTATGCTTGTGTGTGTGTGTGTGTGTGTGTGTGTGTGTGTGTGTGTGTGTGTGTGTGTGTGTGTGTGTATGAGTGTGTGTGTGTGTGTTTGTGTGTGTGTGTGTTCTTGTGTGTATGTGTGTGTGCATGTGTGTTTGTGTGTGTGTATTTCTATGTGTTTGTGTGTGTATGTGTTTATGTGTTTGTGTGTTTGTGTGTGTTTGTGTGTGTGTGTGTATATGCATGTTTTTTTTTGTGCGTGTGGTGTGTTTGAGTGTATGTGTGTTTTTGTGTGCATGTTTGTGTGTGTGTGTGTGTGTGTGTGTGTGTGTGTGTGTGTGTGTGTGTGTGTGTGTGTGTGTGTGTGTGTGTGTGTTTGTGTGTGTGTGCATGTGTGTTTTTGTGTTTGTGCGTGTTTGTGTGTGTGTATGTGTTTGCGTATTTGTGTGCGTGTGTGTGTGTGTGTGTGTTTATGTGTGAGTGTGTGTGTGTGTGTGTGTGTGTGTGTGTGTGTGTGTGTTGGGATTAATGTGTGTTGGACGCTAGGTCGAGGATGCACAAGCTCGTGGACTGTTTACATCTATCAAGACTGAGGGACTGATTACCTTATCTTCCATTGTTTCCTGTATATAGTATCGTAAAGGAATCGCTGAACCACTAGTTGACGATATATCTTCATAATAAAGATACCCAGGTGTTGTACCTGTGTTTATTTTTATTAGTTTCCATGGATATAAAGACAAATGCTTACGTGGCATAGTAGAAGTAGTAGTAGTAGTAGTAGTAGTAGTAGTAGTAGTAGTAGTAGTAGTAGTAGTAGTAGTAGTAGTAGTAGTAGTAGTAGTAGTATGCGCCTCTGTAATTTTTTGACAATCGCTCACATAGGACTAGGGTACATAAATCTAAAAAAGAGTGTTCTCAATGTGGGCAAATCCATTTCTGAAATCTTGTCTTACAAAGAGGGTATAGAAAAATGGACACTATTAGATTCTAATTGCATAAAAAAAACATATATTTAACACAGAGTGTACCTTTCCTGTCATGAAAAGTGAGAATCCTCCTGGAAGGAAAACTGAAACAAATAAAACAGATCTGTAGTTTTGGGTCTCAGTCAGAAATAATTTTCAGCAGCTGAGGAGGATCTTTAACTGAAACAGAAATAAACAGATTTCTTGTCATATTTCTGCACCAGTGGTGTCCTGGCTTTTCATCGATCAGTAATTATGGCACTTTAATAACACAGGCTTTTCTTCTACAATGGTTATATCACTGTGATAATACCACCGATAATAATACTGACAATACCACTGTGTTGACGGAGTGTTCAAACAACAAAGGTTGACGTGTACACGATGGTCACCTTCCCAGATGCTATCCTAGATAAGTGGCGTTCCACTTGTTGTCATGTAGAAGGGGAAACCAGAGGGAGTGGCCATGGCCGGCATATCCTACTATGAACAGCTGGTTCATCTATGAAAAGCTTATACGCTTACAAATTAATGATGAAACTATAAACAGCTCAAACATTTGTAAAAAGCTGATGTATCTTAGAAAAGCTGATGCCCTGACTCACCCTTGAGGTCGAGTGTGTTACCCTCCTCCAGCAGTGGACGCCACACATCCTCCTCTAGTTCGACGATGTTGTTCGTGTAGAGGTACACAAACCCTCCTCTCAAACCTGCAAAATGCCACACAAGTGAAGGAGAAAGAAAGCTGGCGAGAAAAATAAGAAATATATGTCTTAATGTTACGCAGAAGGCCAATGTTCTCAAAGAACTTCACTGAACCTACTTTACGGATAGCCAGAAAACAATTATTATACCACAAGACGGGCAGCTATTAATAACCTTTCGTGGAAGTCAATTCATCAGCTATTGTTTATTCTTTGATTTACTGGCATTAGAATTTCGATACAAAGAAGCCTTCAAGAAATAAAGGCAACTTACCAAAAGGATGCTCTGTCGCACAGCTGTCCCGAAACTTACCCTGAACTCTATATGTTACATATTCCGTAATATTATGATATTTATGCCTTTAAATAAATACTAAAATAAAACTGGAGCATGGGCAGGAAGATGAGCTCTTAGAGATTGCTATAACAAAATTGTTAGGTAGAAGGACACTTGTTCATCTAATTATATTTTTTATTAACACATCGGCCGTCTCCCACCAAGGCAGGGTGGCCGGGAAAAGAAAAACTTTCATCATTCACTCCATCACTGTCTTGCCAGACGTGTGCTTACACTACAGTTATAAAACTCCAATATTAACACTCCTCCTTCAGAGTACAGGCTCTGTACTTCCCATCTCCAGGACTCAAATTCCTGCCTGCCGGTTTCCCTGAATCCTTCATAAATGTTACCTTGCTCACACTCCAACAGTACCTCAAGTCCTGAAAACCATTTGTCTCCATTCGCTTCTATCTAACATGCTCATGCATGCTTGCTGGAAGTCCAAGCCCCTCGCACACAAAACCTCCTTTAACCCGTTCCTCCAACCTTTCCTAGGCCGACCCCTACTCCTCTTTCCCTCCACTACAGATTTATACACTCTCGAAGTCATTCTATTTCGCTCCTTCCTCTCTACATGTCCGAATCACCTCAACAACCCCTCCTCAGCCCTCCGGATAATAGTTTTGGTAATCTGACACCTCATCCTAATTTCTAAACTATGAATTCTCTGTATTATATTCACACCTCACATTTCCCTCAGACATGACATCTACACTTCCTCCAGCCTTCTCCTTGTTGCAACATTCATCACCCATGCTTCACACCCATACAAGAACGTTGGTATAACTCTACTTTCATACAGTCCCCTCTTTGCTTCCAAGGACAAAGTTTTCTGTCTCAGCAGACTCCTAAGTTCACCACTTACCTTTTTCTCCTCATCAATTCTATGGTTCACCTCATCTCTCATAGATTCATCTGCTGACACGTCCACTCCTAAATATCTGAATACATTCACCTCCTCCATACTCTCTCCCTCCAATCTGATATCCAATCTTTCGTCATATAGATGTCCTCTGAACCAAGATTCCACAACATCATGGAATCTTTGTTCAGAGAACATCTACATGACCTTCTTCACGGCTACTACAACTAACCCATCCCTTTGGCTATGACCTACTTCCACTGGGGAATCCCGCCTACCAGTAACAATGCCCTCCTCTGCTACACGTCCCTATTCGCTGACGCCTATATAAGCGCCAGTCTTCTTGTCTGTGGTCCAGAATCTCTACAATCACGGTGCTTGCCACACCAACTCCAAGGCTGAGGGACTAATTACCTCATCTTTTGTATATAGTTCTACTGTCTTCTAGTTATGTCCTAGAATCTGTATTGATAAAGCCACCGGATGGCGAAACGTCTACAATAAAGATACCCAGATGTTGCACATGTGTCTTAACTTTCAGACTATATAGTTAAACTCTTTTCCTGGCTGAGGAACTGACTACCTCAAAAAGCTGATGGACTGATCACATTATCTTTACCTCGCCATTATTCCTACTTTCTATGTATTTATTCATTTTTGTATTTGACTGAAGACGCCTACCATGTAGGCGAAATGTTTCAACAGCAAAGACACTCAACTGTTGCCCATGTGTCTTACTCATCTACTATCGATATTATAGACCATTTTCATAATTATAACTACTGTAGCCCTGTAAATTGTTATAACATAAATGGTTTAGAAAACTGGTAAGTTGGTGAGTGAGACATTTGTGCGACATTTACGATATGTTTCGCCAGCCAGTGATTTCCTCAGTCAGTGCAGAGAAGAATAATGGAAGATGATAAGGAGTTTGGGTATAATCAATTCCTCAGCCTGGAGTCGAGTTGTTCAGTCCATCAGTCTTGGTAGAATTACAACATATGTGTGAAAGAGCTCATATACTGCAGACAGGTGAGTTAAAGCAGTTGAGGATATCACCGATGGGAAAAATCTACTGGTGGAATTTGGCCATGCCTGTAGTTTAGGCAAGTGACTGAAGAATTCCTTGTATCAAGATCCCAAGGTGGTCCTGTCTGACAGATATTACCTCAAACTCATTATCTTCCACCATTCTTCTTTGTACTGAAGAAGTCACTGGCTGGAGAGACGTTTCCTTAATAAAGATACAAAATGTTGCACAAGTGTCTCATTCATCAACCTGTAAATTGTGATGAGGTAGGATAACTGCTCTTAGCTAAGACCCTCACTGGAAATGAGTCAGTCTGCTGACATTCTGACTTCTCTGGGTTATCCAAGGTCACTAACCTTCCGGGTTAATAATTCGAACAAAACCTTCTGTTTTATAAACTGAGTTGAAGTAGGATAACAGCTCTTAGCTTGTAAACTGTGCTGAGATAGAATAACAGCTCTTAGCTTACAAATTGTAATGAGAGCAGATAACTGTTACTAGCTTGTACATTGTGCTAAGGTGGGATAAGAGCTCTTGGTTTGTAAATTGTACTAAGGTTGGATAACTAATCTTAGCTTTTAAACTGTGTTGAGGTTAGATAACAGCTCTTAGCTTGAAAATCGTACTGAAGTTGGATAACTACTCTTAGTTTGTAAATTGTATTGAGGTTGGATAACTACTCTTAGCTTGTAAATTGTACTGAGGTTTGATAACAACTCTTATCTTGTAATTGTACTGAGGTTTAATAACAACTCTTAGCTTGTAAATTGTACTGAGGTTGGATAACAGCTCTTAGGTTACCAAATGCTTGCAGAAACTCTTATTCTTAGCACTGTAGCAATCGTAAGCGCAATAATTTATTATATGAAGAGGAGGAAGAAGAGCTGAAGAAGGAGGAGGAGGAAGAGTTAAAGAAGGAGGAGGAGGAGGAAGAGTTGAGGAAGGAGGAGGAGGAAGAGTTGAAGAAGGAGGAGGGGGAGGAAGAGTTGAAGAAGGAGGAGAAAGAGTTGAAGAATAAGGAGGAGGAAAAGTTGAAGAAGGAGGAGGAGGAAGAGTTGAAGAAGGAGGAGGAAGATGAGAGAGATAATATGACAGTAGGATTGCTTTTTAGAACAGTTTGTGACAGAACCAACTAGAGGAAACAATCTGCTTGACTTGGTTCTTGCCAGCAAAGAATCACTAATTAATAATCTTGAGGTTAATGATAAACTTGGGGAAAAGTGGTCACAAATCACTGAGTTTCAATATATCGTGGAATTACCCAGATACCTGCAATCAAATCTCTGTCCCAGACTTTTGCTGGCCAATTTCATGGGATTGAGAAATTACCTGGGTGGGCTAAATTGGATGTCCTGAATATGGGTCAGGTAGGTGAACTTGGTTGCCAGTATGACGTTTTTCAGAGCATAGTTTTAGCTGCCCAGACAACTTTTGTTCCGAGTAGGGAAATTAGATCTAACAAAAATTATCCCAAATGAATGAACAATAGATTAAAACATCTCATTGGTCAAAAGACAGGTATATATAGACTCATCAAAAAGAGGGGATGGGCAGTTAAGAAATCAATATATTCAATTAAAGAGAGAAATAAAAAAGGAATAAGAAGGCAAAAAGGGATTATGAGGTTAAGGTCACAAGGGATTCGAAGACTAACCCAAAAAGGTTCTTTCAGGTATACAGAAGTAAGATTAGGGACAAATTAGGCCTACTTAAGAGTAACTCAGGCCAGATCACTGACAGTGATAAGGATATGTGTGAAATTCTCAATACCTACTTCCTCTCAGTTTTCACCCACGAAAATACTAGCGAAATTCCTGGAATAATAGATTATGTAGAACAGGACTATAATAAACTATGCACGATTGCGGTAACTAGTGACATGGTCCTCAGACAAATAGAGAAACTAAAACATAACAAATCCCCAGGCCCTGATGAACTGTTTGCAAGGGTGTTAAAGGAATGTAAAGAGGAAATTAGCATACCTTTGGCTAATCTTTTTAACATATCACTACAAACTGGCATAGTGCCTGATAAGTGGAAAATGGCAAATGTAATACCTATTTACAAGGCAGGTGACAGGTCCTTAGCTTCGAACTATAGACCAATAAGCCTTATCTCCATAGTTGGAAAATTTATGGAATCAATAATTGCCGAAGCAATTCGTAGCCATATTGATAGGCATAAATTCATTAATGAATCTCAACACGGTTTTACAAAGGGGCGTCCCTGTCTTACGAATTTACTAACTTTTTCACTAAGGTGTTTGAGGAGGTAGATCATGGTATTGAATATGATATTGTGTGTATGGATTTCAATAAGGCTTTTGATAGAGTTCCACATCAGAGGCTATTGAGGAAACTTAAGGCATACGGAATAGGAGGAAATTTTTTTTCCTCGGTAGAGGCATGGCTGACAAATAGGCAGCAGAGAGTTTGCACAAATGGGGAGAAATCAGAATGGGGGCATGTAACAAGCGGTGTTCCACAGGGGTCAGTGTTGGGCCCGTTGTTGTTCGCAATTTACATAAACGACATAGATGAGGGAATAAATAGCGACATAAGCAAATTTATTGTATGGTTCCTGCCTCCACTACATCACTTGCTAGACTATTTCACTTCTTGACGACTCTGTGACTGAAGAAATACTTCCTAACATCTCTGTGACTCGTCTGAGTCTTCAGCTTCCAATTGTGACCCCTTGTTTCTGTATCTTCTCTCAGGAACATCCTGTCTCTGTCCACCTTATCTATTCCACGCAGTATTTTGAATGTCGCC